AAAAAAAAAAAAAAAAAAAATTATATATATATATCAAATATGCTCAAGTATTCAGTAAAGTTGGACAGCCTGTTGATTGGTTAAATATCTTCCTATCTGTGGTTGCTCAACTGTTCTGGCATCTGAGGCTATTGTATTTCTGCCCCTCTGCAAACTTCAATTGTAAAATTCCAATTCCAGCAGTCATAATATGTAGTGAATCTTGAAATTCTATCTTAAAAGGTCCATCTTATTAAGAGTAGAGCCCAAAGCCTTTATATGTGGCTATTATTTTCATATTTAGCCTATGGGAGACTTACCCTTAACATGCCCCCACAAAATGGTGACACAATTGTGAGCACCAATCCTGGAACCTGACAGCTCGTTTGAGCTGTGGACGGATGGCATTGGTCGTTTGAGCTTCGGACGGACGGGGTTGCTCGTTTAAATTTAATGGACTCTCATATTAAAAGCTAACTCTATTAAGAGGAGTAACCCAAGACCTTATATGTTTGCCATGATTTTAATATTTAGAAGATGTAGAATTTACCATTAACAAAAAAAGTTTTACTATAATGGAAGTGTCAAAAATCCATCAGTAAAATATAATAAGCCCAAATGCACAAGTGTCCCCTAATTTTTTTAGAGGCAGCTCAGCTAGGAACAGGATATAATAGATGAACTGACTGGATCATCTTTGAAATCACCCTCAAGTAAGAACATATATTTTAAAATCTTCTCAAGAGAATTTTTAATATTACAAGCAAGTAGAAACTTAATTGTTGAAATTAAAGGATGTGAAGTGATGTTTGTCACTATAGAAGTTAGCAAAAATGTGATGAGGCAATCCTAAGGAACTCCGCAGAAGTTCACCAGAAGCAATAATGTCATGAAAAAGAAAACCACAATATCTTGGTTCCATTCTTAAACATACTAAACATAAGCAATATTATTTAGATAGGACAAGTATTTCTNCTAAACATAAGCAATATTATTTAGACAGGAAGAAATATATATTTTGGTCTTTGTGGGCATAGTTTCAGTAGTTAACTTCCTTAGAGCAGTCTACTAGTGCTGGTTATCAATATGGATTTAGCTGTTTGTTGTCATCACATTTCTTTCTAAAAATCTTTTATCCTTTTTCGTTTCCATTTTCATTGTGCAGCAAACTTGTTTTTACCTTTCTATTTTTCCTTTCTTCTTTCTCTTATTGTTTACTTATTTTGATGAAGGTGGCTTGCGGGTTAATGAATCCCACTCACTAATAAAAGGAATGTACCCCTCTTGGTCCCTTTTTATATGTTGCATACTTTTAAGTTAGGGTTGTCTCCATAACGAATGTCAATTGTTAAAATAATAGCACAATTGCATTTAGATTACAGAGATGCCAATTCATTAATTGATGCAAAAGAGTAAGAAACAATGATGACAACACATTAAAACTCATTTCAGAATATGTATTATAAGTTGACCAGTGCTTTTAAATTAAAAACATAATGTTGGCAAGGTGTAGAATATAAAGTGCATCTTTTCATTGATTTTGCCTAGTGTGACAAATAAAGAGGGATCAAGGGAGTAAAATTCCAAGGGACCTAGTAGAGCTGGCAGACGTACTAGAAGTACATGCCAGAAGAAATAATTGAATTTTTAAAAATAATTCAAGGTACTCATTCACTCACTTGGGGAAATAGCTTCTTGACTGCTGCATGGCTTTCCCTTCATGTGTGGCTTCTGTACAATCTTCTCTTTCAATACTTTGGACACAGAAAAACGAAGACCAGTTACAGCATCACAATCCATACAAATTACATTTTCCTTTAATAAAGATCATCAAGAACTATACGCAAATGGTACATATAATTATCTTCCAGAGTTTTCAAAGTAAAAGACAAGAAGTCGGTCAAATCTAACTAAAATATGGAAGGTCTCAACAAAATAACCTGTTAGAGACCAATTGTTGTTTTATGTAGAATTGAAGAGACTCTACCATATACTACACTTTGATGACATCATCCACAAAATCAAGAGTCGGTGATGCAGTATGAGTAACTCGGTAGTTGGCGCAATATTTTACAATATACACACTGTTTCTCAAGCAGTATTAAGCTGGGACATTCTTTGAGAGTGCAAACAAAATGGGAAAGAAAAGAAAAAGAGACGTGATACAGAAAGTCTATTCTGGTAGATGATTATTTGAGTCATGTATTCAATATGGAAATGTTTGTCACATGATGGTGTTGTATAACTACCAGGAAAAATATTTGAGAAAAGTAAAACACTGGAAGTTGAATATAATTTTCCATTGTATGTTTGATTGAAGAAGATTAAAAGGAGAAATTCAGTAGTTTTGAAGAAAAAATGGTTGCTAAAAGGTTCCACACAAGACTTCTACATATTTCGCAGGACAACAAATATTACTCTCATAAAACGTATTTCCTAGAATTTTGATGCTACCAATAACAAAAGGATGGTAAGTGCAAAACAAAAAATGTTCATTCACAACACAGTTTATCATGTTTGTACCCGTGTGTCACAACACAACACAAGACACGACATGGTCCTAGTACTCAAACCTTCAGCAACGACAGACCAAAGCAATAAGCTATAATATACCAACAAATGAACAAAAAAAATCCTTCATTAACACCTTATATCATTTATCATATACATTAAACATGAATTGCAATAGTTTTCTTTATGTCAAATTTATGTAGAATGTCTTGAGTATTCCAATGTTAGTCCTACTTATTCCGTGAATAACCTATTCACAGACAATATTCAAAGTCAGAACACTTTTGACCGAGTCCTTAGGTCCTAAAATTTGACAGCTCACAATTCTAATACTCGGATACACACCCATAACACAGTTTGGGCTACAAGGTAGAACCAAACATAAAACAAATGAAATTTACAGACAAGCTTTATTTAACTTCAAAAACCATAGTATTGCCAAATACAAGCAACCCGCGCAGAGTATCACAAGTTATTTGCAAAAAGAGAACATTCACATAAAACACAAAGGTCAGTTTAGACTCACTCAAGCCGGACTTTCCACAGTTCTTTATATCTCATATTCAGAGATTCAATTGCTTCTTGTTTTTCATACCAGTTAGAGTCAACTGCTGGAAAATACAACTCCTGAATTCCTGATACCATAAATACAAGAAAGTAAAAGAACTGATCTTCATCACAAAAGTGGAAACAATATATGATCATTCATACTAAGTCAATTGCAAAGATAATAGATCTTGGTACTAATTTGTAAACTTGATGGATCAACTAAGATTCTTAATTGTGAATAGATCATATTCAAGAAGAGATAACTGATAAAAGAATCACAAGCTTCACCAAAGAAAACAAGAAAGGAGGTTATAGTGCTTCCTCTTTCGTATTTTAAAATATTGTGAAGCTTTCTTCGAATAATAAAGAAAAAGTTCAACGCAAAACAGAAAATTGGGAGTGGGGGCATTAATTATTCCAGTTTTTTGCAGAAAAGAGAATCCTTTTTATTGGTATTATAAAGTAAAACCACCCAGGTGGAGTATTTTTTTTTTATAACAAATAGTAGTAGAAAGTAGGGATGGGGACCATGCCATGACCTCCCAAAAAAGAAAGTAAAGCAAGTACAAACTTCGCATAATTAATCCAATTAGGGTTCCAAATGAACCTAATCTTCTCCTTCAGGAAAGATGTGTAATTATACATCTCCTTCTTCTGAAATTTAGCTCTTTATCCATTTTGCAACAGCTAACAGATGATGTTGACATTTATGCCATGCTTATCCTACAGATGATCTGATCTTATTAGGATTATATGTTTTCCTAATCCACACTATCGAAGCAATAGACACTAATTACAGCATAATACACATATATCTTGCTAAAAGTCATGCTTAAGACTAAGAATCCAGTAAAAATATGTGAGATTTAAACTTGAATACCTCAATTAATTGACTCATACACAAATAACTATCTTTGAAATATATGCGTGGAGGCCTTGTTCCCTGTTCGTGTGAACAGCGAACTGATGTGTCTAGGTCCTTTTTATTACCTTCATTGCATTTTTCCCAGACCAATTTTGTCTTTGTTTTTCTTTTTCTATTCAAGCATATACTCCAACACCCGACTATGCACATTCCTAATAAATATAGCCTATCTTTGGCCCTTATTTTTTCAAAAACTCATTTTCAATTACACATTCTCCCATAAAATAATATTACACGTACATCGAAAACTACTTCTTTTTTAACCATACATTCTCCAAGAAATCACTATTCCAAAACACATTTTCTTATCAAAATGGGGCTCAAACAGGGGGCATAGTTTAAAAGGTATGCAGCAGGTTTATATCTTAGAAAGGAACCACAGAAAACTGCTAATGGAAATTTCATCAATACGTAATAGTTTAGCCCTTGTGGCCATTTTTTTGGATAAACATTGTTCAAAATAGTGATTTTTTTGAGAATGTGTGATTAAAAAGTAGGGAAAAGTTTTAGGTTTACGTGCAGAATATTTTATTGTATGAATGTGTGGTTGAAATGAGAATGTAGAAAAAAGAGTTTTGAAAGAATGGGAGACAAACATGGGCTTAATCTTAAGATTTAATTCACAACATTAGGAATGTCTTTTGTTGGAGATGATACAACAAGATGCACTGCACAAATTATTCATTAATTATTACTCCATAAAATGCAAAATCACAACACTGGATAGATAGACAGAGAAGGGGATATTTCTGATGGCTAGTATGTGAAAAGGCTACAAAGGTTGGACCTCATACAAACAGTAACAGAAATTCTTGTTTGTTATGGACACCACTTAGAAAAACTTCAATTTTTACCCAAATAAGGCACCCAAAAACTACAAATAGTGCAAAAATGAAACAAACATATAATCACAGGACACTAAAGAAAGGTACACGGCAGTCTTCTGCATATAGCTAACCTGAAGTATTGTCAACAGTCTCGTCTCCTACTGCGCTGTTTGAGACGAAGTGGACACTTATTAAGCCCAACTCATACTGAACAAATGTCATAAGTCATAACATTAATTTTAGTCCCTTTTACATAAAAACATTCAAAAACATACATGCAGAATGGTAGCAAACAGTAACTCACACGAGCTGACCACTGGGACTCTATTTTGATGATATCCTCAATTTCCAACTGAATATGAAAAGTCCCCGGATTCCCATTGATAGTTTTGCTTTTAACTATTACAGAACTTCTCGAAAATGTCACCGTGGAATCCACATAATGTACACCACGATAATTGATATAATCAGCATAGAAATCAATTTCCATTCTGCCATCAACCTGCCAATTGAAATCAAAGAACACAGTTAAATAGCAAGCACTGTGTGCATGACATTTTTATCCGTATTTGAACAGTTCAGTTAACACTTTTATAAACACTATCTAGCAAAGTCATGGACCTTTAGTGGTGTCAATCGAGCCGAGCGGCTCATCCGCTCGGCTCGTACTGTTCACGCCCACGAGCCGCTCGGGCTCGTAAAAGAACGAGCATGAGCCGAGCGGGCTGGCTCATACTGTTCACGAACTGCTCGGCGAGTTGCTCGCTGAGACGAGTAATTTTTTTTTTTTGTGACCTATTCGGTCACTGAATTTTCAGTGACCGTTCCGGTCACTTGGTGACCAAACGGTCACTGAATTACAACATTTTTCAGTGACCATTTGGTCACATATACATATATATATTTTTTTTTTTATTTTTTTTTATTTTATTTCTATTTTTCTTCTCCTATAAATACCCAACTCATTACAACATTTTTTCCCATTAAACTTTCATTCTCTACTCTAATCTCTATAATTTACAAATCATTATCAACAATATCATTCATTTATTCTATAATTTTCTTCTACATCTTTTACATTATCTTAATTTTACAACTCATTTTATACACTACTATATAATCTTCATTCACTTCTCAATTCTACATTTCTACATTCTATTTCTACTATTCACAAATGGATCCACGAGCATTTGTTGAAAACTTGTTCGGTATGGAAGGCGAAAACCTGCCCAAAAATCAATTTAGGAATGAATTTGCCGGTCTCGATGAATTACCAATTCCAGAAAACATTGAAGATTTCGACGTTTGTAAAGGTAGTCATCCTAATCCAATTGATTTGGATAACGTTGATCCTAATGTTCCAATTGATTTGGAACAAGATGAAGAACCTACATTAAATATTCCCGATACAAGAGGGAAGAGAAAGGGGAAGAAGCAGGCAAAATGTTGGGACCATTTCAAATTGGTTAACACTAGTCGTGTGATCGATGGACTTCCAGAAACCAAAACAGTATGTAAATACTGTCAATAACAACTGACATGGCAAAAAGGCATTGAGCCACTCACCTCAACCGTCACTACAAAACATGTGCAGCCAAACATGGGCTTCTTCCAACTGGTCAAACGCAACTACAGTTTGGTAGCATCGGTGCTACTACTACGCCACTTTCTACGTGGATGTATTCGGAGGAGGAAGCTCGAACGAGAATGGTGAAGTTCGTTGCCATGGCGGAGCTGCCACTAGCAATAGTGGACAACCAACATTTCGTAAACTACGTCAAACAATATCTTCAACCGAAGTACGTTGTGGTATGTTGAAATACTCTTCGTTCTAATACAATTGAATATTTTCTTAATGCAAAGAAATAATTGATTGCGGATTTAGAAAAATATGGAGCTGTGATATCTTTAATTTCGGATTTGTGGGAAGGAATTAATAAGAGAGGTTATATAGCTGCAACTGCACACTATATAGACCTACTTTGGGTTATGCATAAAAAAAAATTATTGCTTTTAAAATTGTTGAGTATCCTCAAAACGCTCAAACTATATTTAATGCTATTATTTTAATAATTAGAGAATATAAATGCGAGAGTAAAATTCGTTCTTTTACGTTTGACAATGCTTCCATAAATAAAGTTGTTATCGATAAATTGAATAGAGTACTTTAACCCGATTTCGGTGGTTATTTATTTCATATTCGATGTGTGCGCCATATTTTTAATTTAATTGTACAAGACGGTTTAAAACATATGAAGGACGAAATTAGCCGAATTAGAAATGTACTTATATATATATCACGATCACACCTAGTAGAAAACAAGCATTTGAGGAATTTTATGAACAAACTGGGAATAAACATACAAAAACTTTTATTACTGACGTAGGTCATAGATGTAATTCAACTTACTTATTATTAAAATCCTGTGAAGGTTTTGAAACGTTTATCACTGAATTTTATAAAAGTAGGCATATTAGAGACGAATTCTGGAAGTGTTAATGTGAGTGAAGGACTGGGAAGATGCTAATTATCGAATTCAACAAAAATATGCCGAAATTGCATGTAATCAAATGATATTTAATTTCACTACATTCATTACAAAATTTTATTTTCATATTTTTATAATTTTTTAAAAAATTGTACATGTAACAAGTTATTCGTGTATAATTTTAATTCCGTCTACTCGAAATTGAAGTAGCCGGTCCCAAACCCGAATAAAGGAGGAAGGTTTATTTTTTTTTTTAAATAAAAATGTTTTAGAAAATGTATATTTATTATTTTAAAAATTATAAATGTTTTAGAAAATGTATATTTTAAAAAAATAGAAAATGTGTATATATATATAGTGAATTTAAGATTTAGTTATAGTAGCATTTTAAAAAAAAAGTCAGATTTAACGAGCCGGCGAGCCGAGATGCTCGTTTTGGACGAGCTCAGGCATGAGCCAGCTCGCCCAAAATCCAACGAGCCACGAGCTCAGCTCGTGGGAGTATCGCCGGCTCGGTCCATTGACACCACTATGGACCTTTGAATGATAATATCTCAATGTCATTTAACCCTCTAACATGACGTGAAGCTTGTAGAGCATCTGATGCAGACATCATCGAGATTTATTTTTATTGGGCTTTATTATTTATATTTTCTATTATTGGATTTGTAGTAGTGGGTTGGCCCACATCCTTCGCTAGTAGGTTAAGTTTATACTTTTTGATAAGCTTTTTTTTTTGTTTTTGATAAGCGGTAGGTTAAGTTTATAAAATTTATTGGATCTTTTTCATTGTAGTTGAATTAGTTGAGGAATGAATAATTGGCGGCCACGAACGTTTTTTCTCCCCTCCCCGTTCTTCTCCCGGTTTCTCCCCTGCTTTCTTTCTTCTTCTTCTCTCTCTTCTGTTGTTCTTTTAGTTTTTAATCTTCTCTGTTGATAATTAATTTCCCCATTAATTCTACATCAGCATCACATGAAAACAATAGTGCAGGGAAGCGGCAACTTCCAAAGAAGAAATATTTTCATGGTTCAACCATTTCTTGATCCAAGCATTTTTTTTTATTTGGCAAATAAAATTGGATTGGTACAAACTGAAACCCCATAACTTAAGCTACTTCATGTCAATCAAAACAGAGAACCAATTCAAAATCAGGATGCAAAACAAGCAACTGCCCCCAGATTGCAGTAGAGAGAGCTAGAGGAGGGTTGAACAGGTTATAATTATTAAGTAGTTTTTAGTTTTGTACATTAGGATTTTTATTTATGGATTTTCCTAGTTCTAGGACTCCTAGTCGCTTGAGAATCCCAGTTCTAAAACTACAACTCATTTAGTTATTTCCTGATCCAAGTCAATATATAACAAAAAACTATATTTCATTGAGTGGTTCATTAAGATGGAGGTGGCATAAAAAGTTAAATTATCAATCTTAATTTAGTTTAAATAATTATTTGTATCACGGCAAAGCAGTACTGACATCAAACTGAGACTGAAAAATGTCATTTTTTAACAACACCAATTCTGAGATGCCAACTGGGATTAAGACATCCTAGATTGGTCAGTCTAGGTTAGATTTAACTAATTCGAAGACAGTTTCAGGGGTAAATCTACCATCACTAGTCTATATAATCATCCAAGGCATTTTGATTATATTCCAAAGAAAGAAAGAAAGAAAGAAAAGGAAAGGCAGGAAAATGGTGAGTTATTATTACTTCTTTAGACATGAATAATCTTAACGAAAAAAATCAAAATAGCAAAGTCGCTTACCATATTACAGCCACTGAAGAAGTTAGCAGATGATGGTCCATCGGAAGAAGCTGTGGCAATGCAATTCTTATCATAAGAAAATCGTGCATCAAACTATGAATTTCCAGATTACCTGAACTCCCGTCCCAGTCCCCAAAACCGAGAAAAAATAAATAAGAGCAAGAAAAAATAGAATGTCAGAAAAACAAACCATCATCATCTGCAATAGAAGAAGAAGGAGATCTTTTGTTCATGCTTTCATCAACATCTGACACCATACTAATTGTCTCGTCCTGCATGCATTCGAAAAGAGATAAGCAAACCTTAAGAAGCACTTCCCTAAAAAAGTCTCAATATCAAGATTACAATACATTGCATGAAGACTTCAGAAAGCCACAGTTTTCGTGGTCCTTCACATATGAAGCGGCTTCAGGGCTAGAACTGCATTTCACACTGGGAAGGAAACTTCCAGGTTTAAGCTTATCGAGTCTAATATCAGCAATTTGCTCTTGACTTCTTGAGTTAACAAGCCGATCATCATCAAATCCCGAATTATTTTTGTTAGAACAATCCTTGGTGTCCAGAGGAGACAGAAAACTAGCAGTACTATAATTATGATCAATTTCAGCAGCCCCAACATCTGAACATAGTACCTTCCCAATCTCCTTTGATTGATTTTCAGTTTCCCCGGCAACTAGAAAGTAAAATACAAAAAAAATATTATAAAAAGTGAAAAACAAGTGATTAAGACAAGGAAAGAAAGGAGTTTAGTTTGAACAAAACTGATGAAGCTGCTCAAATTAGTGATAGCAAAAAAGGCATAATATTTCGTTAATCTAAAATTTAATCATAATGAAGTACCCGGCGAATCACTATTAGAAGTATGACAACGATGATGGTTCATATCATTGAGGCAAAACCCTCGTCTCAGATTTTGAAAAGAACAGAGTAGACGCTATAGTTCTTCCAACGTAACTATTTAACAGAAATGTAGACCATATTGTAATTTCAACAAAAAACTATTTCGTAAATCATAGAGCGTGTGGAAGATTCCTTACCAGAAGATTGATCAATTGGCTCAAAACCCATGTCAGAAATCATCTTCAACAACTCATCAAACAAAATTTTCCTCCTCTTTTTCGACAAAGTTCAAGAGCTACCTGAAAAATCGACTTCATAAAACAGAACCAGCCCACCGGTTGTCTGAAAATTGAACTCTTCTTCCACCTTGTCTAAGGGTCAAAGCTCCGTCGAAGTTGAGAATTGAGACTGTATATATAGAATCGCGACGATTGAGCTTCCAATTGTTTGAGCTCTAAACTCGATTTCGTTCTAGGGTTGGGGGAGGAGCTCAATTAATGATCGCAATTTTTTCCAATACGCCCGTTTTATATCAGTCGTCGTATTTAAAAATCCATGTCAAGGGGCAAAAACTTGTCATTATCATTATTTACTTGAAAAATTTATAAATAAGACGTTTAGTTTACACTAATTTAAAAATCATGATTACAGTTTGAAATTTCAAAAATAAGATTTTTTTTAATTCTAATATAATATAATATAATAAACCAACCCCACATGCACCACCCATACCGCTTCTAGGACTATTCCGGCGATCACTCTTTTCCGACGACCATTCCGACGACTACTCCGATTTCGGTGACTATTTCGGCAATTATTCCGGTCACAAATTTATAATTTAATTAGTTACATATTATTTTTCAATCATAAATAATAATTTTTATACGTCACAGATTATTTTATGGTCACAATTCAAAAATTTTATAGGTTACATTTAATTCGTTGGTTACAGATTTCAAAATTAGTTGATCACAGATNATACCACCGCACCCCACCCACAGTGCGCAGACACACCCACCACCACCGCAGCATTCAACCACGGACTATCAACACCACCACCAACCAGATCTGAACCCACCCACACAACATCTGTAGTCAAACACCACATCCACTCTGCCGGTTGCCGTTCACAGTACATACACCCACCCAACCACTGAACGGCAGCCGGCAGCCACGAATGACACACACCCCGCGAACTGCGCTCCGGTACACACCCCGCGAACGGCGCCACCAGATCGAACATCACAGTGCACCAGATCTCACAACGCCTCTTATCGAACAGCGGAGTAAATGAGAAACGGTAGGACGCAAAGCTTCATCGACTGCGCTCCAAGTGACCGCTTCATGTGGTGTCTCCGCTCGACAGCTTCCAGATCGCCGCAAAGTGCACCACCTCCACAGCACCAGCACCAGCACCGGCTGTAGCAAGCAACGCAAAAAAGGGTTGCTGATGCTCGTGTAGCAGGCGACACAGAGGAGGACTGCTGCTGGTGCTGTAGCAGGTGACGCAGAAGAGGATGAGGGAGAAGAGAAGAGCGTCGATCGCCGGAGCAGCCTTCCACTTGTTGTTGAAGGATCCGCTGGAAAAAGAGGAGTGAGAGAAGGAAGAGAGAAATGACGAAAGAAGAGAGAGGCGAGAGGGGGAGAAGTGCATTGATAAAAATGATTTGGGGTTTGGGATTGAGATTTTTAAGTCAATACCTGAATTTTGATTAAAAAATATTTTCACCTGATTTTTGCACTCTAATCTTTAAATAATTGATTTTATATAATTTCCCTTATTAAAAAGATTATGGCCCAAGCTACTTTATTTTTTTCATTTTCTTTCTTCTATTCATTTTTAATCACACATTTTTCAATAAAATAATATTTTTAGTTATATCAATAACTTTTCATTTTTTTTCAACCACATATTCCATATCATATCAACAGTAAAAATGCATTCTTTTTCAAAAAATGTGCATCAAACAGGGGCTATGCTACTATTTCATTCCATTAATTTTTTTTAAATTTTTATCTTCTTTTAATTTTAACCACTCATTTTACAAATAAAATAATATTACACAAAAATTTAATATTTTTCATTACATTTCAACCACATATTCTTCCATCAAATGCTATTCAAATTTTATAATTTATACAAAATGGGGGCCAAACACTAGCTATTTCATTCTACTGATAATTGGTTATATCAATATTTTGAAAATTGGATCAACTATTTAGCCCCCATTTGGTAGAGATTAAAATTAGACTTTTGCTAAATTTTGATAGAAATTAGTGATATATATGATTGAAAAATTGTAAGACTCATAAAATATATGGTTGAAATGAATTGCTGACTTTGATTTAAATTAAAATTTAGATTTTAATCGATACCAAACATGGGCTTAATAAAGATAAAGGGTCCCGTCGACCTGATCTTGTGATTTGATTTTGATAACATTGATAAAATATACACTCGGCCAATAAATTTTAGCAAAATTTAATTTTGACTGTTAAATTCTAAATTTATTTGAAGTTGACCATAAATTTTTATTTTGTTTCAAGTTGATCACTATGCCCTTATTCATTAATGTGATTAGCTGGAAATAGAATATAACGATGCTAGGATACAATGATCCGAATTATGTTCGGCCCAATCTATTTGGTGAAAATAAAATTATGAGATTTTTTTAGGGGTATGTGGTGGTAGCAGAAGGATAGGTCCGATTAGGGATAGTAAAAAAAACTCGACAAACCCAATACTCGCGATGTTCCGCCCCGAATAGGGTGGAGATTACTCGTTTAATCGAATATTCAAGGTGGAGACGAGTTAGGCTACCAACTAGGTAATCGTGTGAGTTTAAATTAATGAACACAAATAGAATGATCAAATCTTAATAGGCCTTTGTCTGGGCTCAATTTTCTCCAAAATGTATTTTTTTTCTCTCCTCTTTTCAGTTATACATTTTTTAATAAAATAATATTACACGTAAATTAAAATAAATTTTCCTTCTTTTTTAATCTATTAAAAAAATCACTATTCAAAAATATATTTTTTCTCAAAAACACATTTTAATGGAGTCCAAACAAAAGTTGAACAAAGTTTAAGTTGGTATAAATATGGAAGAAACAAAGGTTAACTAGATAATTGTGTAAGTTTAAACTAATAAATGCAGACATAATGATCAAAATCTAATAAATGTTACAAGTGCAACTATCAACTCAGTAAAGTTTAAGTCGATGATAAATTTGGAAGAAAAGAAGGTTAGCCTGATAAAATTTCACTGATTGAGAATTCAGCCAACTATTTATTTGACCCGATCATGAACAATGTTAAGGCGTTGGTGGACTCCACCTCTAACCAGGGGCGAAGCCCAATAAGGACCAGGGTGGGCACAGGCCCACCCTGAACTTCGGGCTCAACCAATTTAGCTTACAGCCCTGAGCCCACGCAGCGATTATAGACTTCTTTCACTCTTCGACAATCGACAGCAGCCCGCAGCTCACTCCAGCGACTGTAGACTTCTTCCACTTTTCGACAGCAGCCCACTCCAGTGACTGTAAGCCCAGCTACTGTAAGTGTCCAGCAGCTCTTCACCTCTTCCTATTTGTACAATTTTTTTTTTCATTTATGGACTGTAATTGTGCAATTGTGTTGTGTTCAAACTTTTTGATGAATTTGTGGATTGGTTTTTTTATCATTTATGGACTGTAATTTGTGGACTGCAATTGTGATTCTGTGAAGAAAGTTTGGGCAGTGTTGTGTAACTTGTGTTGGAATATATTGGATTGGTATCTGATTTGGTGAATGAATAATGTTTGGGTAGTGTTGTGTTGGAATGGTTGGAACTTCAACTTGGACTTGGTTGGATTCTTGGATTTGGTGAATCTGGAGCTCATGTCTAATGTCTTTGCTTTGTATGATTGTATTTCAGATGTTGAATTTGATTATCATAGTTTCAGTTTGATTTGGTTGATTATCATAGTACAATGATATCAAAATATGAAAACTCGAAAGGAACAAGTGTAATTTATAAACTACGTTATTTTTAATATTGTCGTAATATTGTTTTATATTATTATTATTATCGTTAAATCCATAACCAAAAACTCGACATTCAACGTCGATAAATTGTGCCCACCCTCAATTAATTTTCTAGCTCCGCCCCTGCCTCTAACCTCCAACAAAATATATGCATGTCTCATTTTCATGAAGATTATGGAATTTTACATATTTCAGTAGATATTATGCCATTTCAAATCATAATTTGTGCCCGTAAATGGGTATTATGTTCTTCACCTGCAATCAAATTGCAAGCTAAGTAGGAATGCAGATGAACTTGTCCCATGTGTTGGGGCGAAATTAATTGTACAAAAAATTGTATTGAAATTTGAAAAGCTCATTGGGCAATGCAAGGTTGTTCCTTTGTGACACTTGTGTATGGTACTTTATTATCTCATGAATTATAATATATTACAAGTTTAATGAATAATGAAACGTTGTATCTCGTTGCTATCTAAACTAATGTTCAATACATATGGCTCTACTTAGCATTATTCAAAGTTACATAGAGAAACACGTGTAACTGCATATATGTGTGGTCAATGCCCATCTTTAATATGGACTAACGCAATAAACATGATCGATGATTGGCTTTTCCCCAAGGAAAAATTATAGAACATATGTTGTTAATACTCGTTCTTCACTTGCATGTTAAAATAATTATATTATGCGGGCTTTCATTTGATTGCGAATTTTATGGGTTAAGTGTATGGTTTACAATAATACTATGATTGTACCGAATATGTTAGTATCCATTGGGTCGTTGTACACTTTACGAGCTTTATTATTATAATGTGGTAATTTTAAATATGTGGGATGGAATTATGTAAACCCTAATTAGGGTTAAAGTCGGTAATGAGCTGGTTTTATGATTGCATACATGATGGCTATGTCCCCTCTTCTTTCCATATCGTTTTGACTTGCCCAATTGACGACCGATTATTTTTGAGAAGCAAGGAAAAAAAGATCTAACTGGTAATATTCATAAACAAAAATATCTTCCGTATATATGAATTTCATCTACCAATTTAGAATACGTGATTCTTGTTCTTAGCATGATTATTAAACAACTTCAACAATTGGTATCATAGCGGGCATGCTAAAATTAGAATCCTTTAAACAAAATTATAAATACAGTGGCTCCAATTAATTGTTTTTGCCTACTATCTGCCTACTTCTTTTCTGTCTGTGTACAACAACTTTTGCATGGAAACTTTTAAATTTCAGAAGTACCCGAGATTGGTGAAAACGAGAATATTTTTAAGAGCTGTTCATCAATACTATCCAGGTTGAAGCTCCATATCCAATTCCTCTTATTGACTTATGACATGTTTCTTCTCCAAATTTTCCATAACTGTTCATACAAGAGTCTACTGTAATTGGCGTAGACTTTCAGCCCATTGTTTTGTGTAATTAATGAATATAAATAGCTGCACGTTCCCGCTGTAGAAAAGGTGTGCCCAATAAAAGATGATTTTTTGTGTTTTGTTGTAGAAAAGGTGTTTTAGATGGTTGTATCAAATCTAAATTTTTTTTTTGTTGACTGGAATTTGGTTTGCCGGGATTATGTTACAACATCAAATTAGATTATTCATTAACATAGAATAGAAATGCATGATTTATTTGGATTTTGGTTGTGTGTGAATGTCAATGGTTGCCACTGTTTTTATGCTATGGTTTGGTAATTGATTTGGGTTGTTTTGGGGATGGGGGCTCATCCAGCAATTTGTGATTTTTTGGGGGCTTCTCCTGCAATTTTAATTAAGGATGAAGGTTTTTTTGTTGTAATTCCTAAAATATTGAGGCCCTTCTCATATTTTAATTCGAGGGTCAAATTTGAAATATTAAAATTTGAACTTTTAATATGAGGTTTTTAAATTTGATCCAAATATATTTCAATTTCGACCTAAAATTAAAATTACATTTAAAATCGACGACTTTATGCCTTTTTATTGAAATAATTAAATGTCGTTATTATTTGTCTATTTAAATTTCATTTTTATATATTGAAATTTAGTTGCCAATTTTGTCATGAATTTTGCTTTTCGTCAGTTAATGATTGTGATTATTATTATTGAATTTTTCGTGGACTTCTAGTCCGTCTTAGTGCTCCCATTAAAAGAAATATTTTGAAATAAAAGTGGGTGGTAGCTACTAAATGGCACNTTTGGATGATATTAAATATGTTATTTTATATTTCCACAGTTTTAAATGCCTCAATTCTTTCGACTCAATTGTCTGTTATTGAAACCTTGACTGTGAATAATTACGTGAAATGGAAACGAGACATAGAAATAGCACTTGGTCTTTTGGGGTTGGATTTTGCAATGGAGAAGCAGCTACAAATAAAAGCGATCGTGAATATGTAACTGAGTATGAAAAGTGGGAAATGACTAATAAACTTTGTTTGAAAATTATTAAGCGCTCAATATCTGATTCCATTATGGGTGCTATTCCGGATAACGAAAATGCTAAAGTTTTTGTGGATGCCAGAGGGTTGAGATTTGTTGAGTCTGATAAAGTTGAAACTGGAGATATGATGGACAAACTGACGAATATGAGATATGATAGTGCAAGTGGAGCCTTGACCTTAGTTTGTTTTTAATCTTCTTTTGTGGATGTTCCTTTAAATTCTTGGTGGCTAGACTCGGGAACCAGTATTCAAATTGCGAATTCCTTACAAGGGTTCACAAGCAAATTGAGGCCAAGTAATAATGAAGTAAGTCTGTGCATTGAGAATGAAGTTCAAGTGAAGGTTGAGTTCATAAGAGTGGTGAAGTTGTTTTTGGAGTCCGATTTCTCTCTTGTCTTAGAGAATATTGTTTTTGTACCGACAATGAGATGAAATTTAATTTCTATATCGAAACTTGATGCTTCTGGTTTTTCCTTTAATTTTGGTAAAGGAGCGGTTGAATTGTTTCATTATTCTCGTTTGATTGGAAATGACTTCTTATGTGATGGTTTATATAAATAGTCTTTGACTTCTTTTGGTGAAGTCTATTGTATTGCGAAAGTGTCAAAGAAAAGGTCTATAATTCGTAAATCCTCCATGTTGTATTGGTGAAGTCTCATGTGTTGCCAACGTGTCAAAGAAAATTTCTCTAATTCGTGAATCATCCTCCATGTTGTGGCATAAGTGTTTGGGTCACATTTCAAATGGTAGGATTGAGAGATTGGTTAAAGTTGAGATTCTTATCTGATTGTATAAGAGGAAAGTTCACTAAATCCACGAGGAAAGGTTCCACTAGGAGTGATGGTATTTTGGACTTAATACATACCGATATCAATGGGCATTTACCTCCTACCATATGTGGGAACAAATATTTTATAAATTTCATTGATGATTTTTCGCGATATGGATATGTTTATTTGATGAATGATGACTCATGCGTTTGAAAAATTGAAGATTTTCAAAATGGAGGTAGAGAAATTATGTGAGAAAAGCATCAAAATTGTAATATCTGATCGGGGTGGTGAGTACTATGGGAAGTACGATGAGTCTGGTCAAAACATGGGTGATTTTACAAAGTCTTTATAAGGGTGTGGTATAGTGCTTCAATACACCATTCTAGGCACACATGAACAAAATGGCGTCTCTGAACGATGTAATCGGACTCTTAAAGACATGGATAGGAGCATGATGAATAGAACAAATTTGCCAGAATATCTATGGGATGAAGCCTTGAAAACTGCTATGAATATTTTGAACAGAGTTCCAAGTAAAGTTATTGCAAAGTCACCTTTCGAGTTGTGGATAAGCTAAGTTTTGCTCATTTCAGAGTTTGGGGATTTCAGTTGAGGTGAGAATTTATAATCCATTTGAGAAGAAATTAGACCAAAAATCCACTCTTGGCTACTTTATTGGGTACCCAGACACATCAAAATGATACAAGTTTTATTGTCCAAACCGTGGTACCAGGATTGTTGAGTCCATCACTACAAAATTTATGGAAAATGATTTTGATGATAGTGGAGTTTGATGTAGAAAGAATTTTTTGTTGAACCAAATCCAGTTATTATTCCAATTCCTGTTATACAGGAGAGAGTTGTAACTTAACCAGCTGAAATTGTTAATGAAGAACTTAGGAACCTAGAGGAACCCCAGGTTCCTCCACTAACAATGATTGAGTTAAATCTTAGCTACAAGTTAGGAGATCACAAAGAGAAATAAGGTCTGCATTGCCCAGTGGTTACATATTTGTTGGAGAGTGATTTTAATATAGGGCATATTGTTGACACGGTTACTATTAACCAAGCATTGACAAATCCCGAGTCACATAAATGGATAAATGTTTTGGATGATGATATAAACTCTATGGAACAGAATTAAGTTTGGGAACTTGTTGAACTTCCACCGGACGCTAAACCCACAGATAACAAGAGGATCTTCAAAAGCAAATTGGACTCAAAAGAGAATGTTGAATGAAAGAAGGCGAAATTGGTTGCAAAAGGGTTCACTCAACGAGGGTCATTATTATAATGAAATTTCTTCACCTGTTTCATCCAAATATTCTTTTCGAATTATCATGGTACTTGTCGCACATTATAATTTGGAGCTTCATCAAA